TTCGTACTCTCAATCAGGTAATAGAGAAATGCTCAGAATATAACCAACCACTATACATAGCCTTCATAGATTACGAGAAGGCATTTGATTCAGTAGTAATATCAGCCTTCATGCAGAGACTGCGTAATCGGTGCGTCGATTAAGTATATATAAACATCCTGGATATAATCTACAGTGAATCAACTGCTACCATAGTGCTTCATAAAGAAATCAACAGAATACCAATCAAGAATGGTGTAAGGCAGGGGGGACACAATCTCTCCCATGCTATTTACTGCGTGCTTACAGGATAAGACAGATGCTTGGGCTAGTTGATGATTGGGAATCAACATATTGCACCACGCAAGACTACGAGATAGATAGATAGATAGATAGATAGATAGATAGATAGATAGATAGATAGATAGATAGATAGATAGATAGATAGATAGATAGATAGATAGATAGATAGATAGATAGATAGATAGATAGATAGATAGATAGATAGATAGATAGATAGATAGATAGATAGGCTCGTAGTAGCCTACGTTCGCTAACAAATGCTTCGCATTTAAAAGTGCTCAAGGTCATGAGGCGCGGTAGTGTCTCTGTCCTTCCAGCGCTCTCGTCGGGACGAGAGAAGAGATATTGCAATTGCAGCATGCGACAAACCTTTGTAACTCCACTCGCACTGGGCGGATTCTGAAAATTTTTGCGGCGTTAAATTTGTAGTGAATTCTAGTGAATTAATTCCATGGTTACTTGAAAAAAGTATTTCTGGGCCCCCTTAACGCATTTTGTTCGACAGTTGTCACGACGAAAACGAGCGCATTCGGCGATAATAGTGCGCGCTGGTCCAATTTACTGTGTGTGCGTTTGTATGTGTATGTGTGCGTGCGTTTGTATGTAAAAATTACATTATTAAGTATGCACTTAGCAGTTGAAGAGTTCACAAAGGGCCGGATTTTGCTATCGCGTTCAACTCTTATTATCAAAGCTTACGGATCCCTCAATTTTTCGTTGGGTCACTGCTACGTGAGCAAGCATTCACTGTTGGGCCTTTTGTTCCAAAATCAATAAAAAAGTGCAAGGACGACCTCATCAAATGCTCGCAGTTTTGTTAAACTATGTGTAATAGAAAAACCGTTGTATTCTGTCTTTTATGCTGGCCTGAACATTCTTGCTTTCACCGCTATAACAGTGCTGTTTAGATGTCCTAATTTTTTCATTATCATCAGCCTGACTACGTTCGCTGTACGACAAAGACCTCTCTCATGTTCCGCCAGTGAACTCTAAATTTAGTAATTGTTAAAACTTTCGTTTTCCACCAAGTTACTGATTCCTTTTAAAATGCACTTACAGTTTCCATGAACAGAAGTATTTGTGTGATTTTCACGTGAATGCATGTACTTTTTAAAATTTTTTGTGGGAAAAATTTGATAGAATATAGAACGTAAGTTGCATCAAATATATTCATCTATCTATCTATCATTCTATATCTATTTATCTATCTATCTATCTATCCACTTAGGACTTGGTGCTCTCATGACCACATCTTAAATTGGCGTTAAACGAAATTTGTATGGAAGGGCAAGAAGGTTGAACGAAGATGACGCGCTGGTTAAGACATAAGAAATGTCACAATTCCGTCGCGTACGTCATCAAAAACTTACCGGTGGACAGCGGGACATGCCCGACGGGCGAGTGTGCCACGTATATGCGGGTATGTGCCACACGTGACTGCTACTTAGTATCTGAAAAGGAACGGAGTGAAAACACTTGGCCAAATTTAATGCATGAGTGATAACACAAACCTCACATTGGCAGCGTTACCCCTATGAATGCAAAGAATAAACGTCAGGGTCCCAGTAAGAATCGAACCCGAGCGTTCTGCGGGGCATTCAATCATTCTACCACAGAGCCACGTCCAGTTTTGGAGCCGCTTGGTGTGATTTGATTTTAATTATTTGATTTGTCGCAGTAGATTGTAACAGGAGGCGGAGGGGAAAGCCGTAATGACGGCTTGAGGGATGCTTCACCCCCTTCGAGAACAATGTAGCAGCTGAAGGGCATCACAACAATATCACAATAATATATACCTCGTACAGGGCATCACAATATGATGTAGTTTTCCCCCCTAAAACTGTCACAGTGTTTTGCGTAATGATCATTTCATGAATAAAGAAAACTGAAAAACGTGTTGTATACGTAGCTTAGTCCAGAAAAAGACCTGATGTGACCTTGTGCACCTATAAATAACTACGTGGTTTACACAAAAAAGAGACGTTAATTCTGTGGCACCTAAAGGAGGAACATACTATACCTTTGCTAGTATAATTATTTATATTCTTGGATGAGTACATTGAAGCATCTGAAAGCCATAATTAATTCGCAAGTGAAGAACGTTCCATGTCTCTGTGTTTCTTGTTTCGTACGCCTTTTCCTTCAAGCAAAGATTTGCCATCTCCGTAAACGAATAGCATGTGCAGCTAAGACGGAACTCTTGTAGCAGTCTGTATTTATATATATCATTCCCTTTTATTATCTTGTATTTTTTTAAACAGCGCGTCTCTAGGTGCTCGAAATGCAGCATTATCTATCAGCCTTAGTACTTTTTCTTTATTTTGAGTAATTTTGTTGAGTTTATTTCTGTAGTTTTTTCCCAAAATATTTAGCAGCAGTTAAGATAAGAACTAAATAGCGATTTGTACATCAATAACTTCACTGAGTTCGGGATGAGGTACCAGATACGCCTGAAAATTCCAGTTATCCGGCTCAGTTTTATTTGAATATTGTTGACGTGACCATCATATTGCAAAGAACTCGAGAAATGTACTTCAAGAACTTTCACTGAATTCACTATTCCTATATCTGAGCCTCTAAATACAATATTACTCTGCAAAGTCATTTGTTGACTTTTCGGATGAAAAACTTTTAAAACACGCCCTAATGTTCACAAAACGTCATTAGTGGTTGCAGTGCTGGATATTCGATTTTATAAACGTTACATTTGTGCACCTCGGAAACAGCCGTCACGCTGGGTTCGCATAAATTTCAGCTAGGTACCATGCGCTGATGTGTACTTATGAAGCAGTGTCCAGGGCTACCATCCTCGCGAGCACTAACGCTTTATATGAGCTGATCGCTTCTGGCGTTGCTAATACTCATATTACTGTTAGAATCTTTGCGCAAATGCTCACAACTTTAAATAAATACTTCCTGCTCTTCAACTTACCGCCATCTCTCCAACATTGGTTCATATGTATTTATTGAGTCTGATCTTTCCCTAATAATGTGGTGTGTGGCGTGCAAAGTTTTTTCGGCCAGAAATAATGCTCACGATCCTTGTTCTGATAATTTTTCTCCACCAGGGATTGAAAACGTTGTGATCAGAAACAGAAATCTCAAGATCGTTGTTACTGATCTTGCTGGTTGCTGATCTCAAGATTGCTGTAGCGTTATGAAAGAAAGGATATAACTTTTATAACGTCTCGATCAATACAAAAATTACCACACAATAAATTCTTCAGCGTATGCTTCGCATAATGTTGATTCTCAGAGTACGAGTAATCTGCCGAAATTTGTATCAGACATTTATTAGAAAATTGAATTGTTAAGAAATGAAAATGGAAATAAATCATTTTTGAGCGGCAAAACTTCTTAGTATGAGCAAGGCCGAACTAAGCAGAAACTATTTCAGTATCTCTATAACTTGTCTTTATTTTGCGGTGTTTTACCACCAATTTGAAGAAATATGTGCGAGATATTCCATTACCTCAAAGGTTCGTATTTGTGTTTAGGCTTCGAAATCCTGTATTTGAACACATGTGTTTTGAAATACTTTTACGGGTATATCTGCTCAGCCTTTAGGACGACGCTGCATTTAATCTCAGTCGCTTCTGCCTCGCACACGCTGCGTGGTAGAGAGATCGGCCGGCGCATGCCTCAAGTATGTACTCGAGAGCTCAAATAAAATTGGTCTGGTCAGGAACTGACATGAAGAAATTAAAGCAACACGCTGACCACGATGAAAGCGAAAGAAAGACGACTGATTCCTCTGTTGCAGAAATCCATATAACAAGGTGCGAATGTGGCAATAGCCACAAAACGGTATGAAATTGGTACACGCATGGTCTTCTCAGGTTTGCGCATATTGTTTCTGCTTGGACAAGCACATGATTTAGCCACTTCTAGAAATGCGTTTTTTTTCGGTAGTGCCTTCTGTTACGGTGGAGTTTTTTTTTTCAGTAAACTTTTTTAGCGCAAAATGATGTAGTGCGAAAAATGGGAGGACGCCTGAGCTTCGCCTTCAAGAGAAAGTCGCGGTGGTGAATGGAGCGCACCTTCCGAATAACTAACTGGCTTCGGTTCTGTGTGCATGCCTCAACCGTGCCGTAAGGAAACAAACCATTGTGCAAGTAACATTGGCCGTTTCAAAGAGTAATTTAATGCCTATTGCAGAACTGTTATTTGCCCACTACACCATAATTACTTATTTTGGGAATCAGCAAAGGGCCCACTACGTGTTCGTATGACAACAAGCGAACCCACGCAGCTGGAAACTTTGATAATGGCTTTTCTGCTGACGATGACTAATTATGTCTGAGTGCTTTGTAAAGGCAAGGCCTTAATGCACCCGCTTTATCGCTTTAGCAAAATCGCCTCGCTTTGCGCCATCACCTCTGAAAGCGTGGCATGAAATGGTGCAATTTATGTGTCTTTATGGTTGCGTTTCTGCATACAGAACATGAACGACGCTAAAGGTATTCCTCCGGTAACCTGGACTTTTTCCGAATGCCGTGTTCTTGGTGCCACCATTCACATTGTGATTACTCGACCTTGTCAGTGGGTTGCGCTGTAAATCGCAATATTTCTTCATACCCTGCATTAAATTCGCTAGTTGTCGAAAGGCCAAGCAGTTCGCGCGTTCGGCGAACACCATCCAATACGGCGAATCTGATAAAGCCTTGGCGTTGTCTGTCTTGCGTGATTGTGCAAGGTGTTCTATGTTTTTTTGGCAGGACCATGCAGGGCATCGTAAGGACTCTTGTCATTATTGGATTGGTTGGCAAGCTGGCCGTTCCGACGTATTCTATGGTTCACGCTTCGGTAAGACAATATTTGTGCTACAACCGTGGTCCCAATCTCACATATTTTAAGTGAAGCCTAAAGACCCAGGTATGCTCAGCCAACTTTGGACGAGCTTGTGATCTGTTGCTGGTACTGTAAGTATGCGTTTATGACTGAAATGCACTCTTACTAACGCATCTATGGCGGCTACGATGTCCAAGGAAAGGACGGATGCTCCGGCCCCTCTTCTGCTAAGACCAGGCGGTGTCAAGTTAGCGTCAATTGGGAACATGGCTTTATCAAGGTCATCGAACTGATTTGACGATGATGACATCGAATACCACAGTGCATATGCTGAGGCCACAAGCCGCCAATTGAAGAGGAAGCTTGCAGGCCATCAAGCGTGGGTGACCTCCACTACAACGCATCGTCCTGTCCGCAGGCATCCGCAATCCCTTAAACTACAATCGCTGTTACAGAGAACATGAATTCTCTGTACAGGCGCTCACGGCCTGTCATGAAAGGATAGCTTCTGGACAAACAATAGAGGTCCATTTTAATCCCACAAGGAATATGTGGGCTGTTCTTGAGTCTACACAATCGACCCTCAGTGCAATGAAGGGTGTGACTCAGCTCTGCAACGTACCTGTCCATTTTTTCTATTAAATGCGTAGCATTTCTTAGCGAACTTCGGCGACTTGGCGCGTATCTATCTATCTATCTATCTATCTATCTATCTATCTATCTATCTATCTATCTATCTACCTATCTAGCCGCCTACAACCTCTACATCTCCTGACCGTTTCAATTAAGCTATCGATAGCAAACTTTGTATGGCTTAACATGACTACATGAAGAACATTAGAGACTAGTCATACCATGATCATCAAGATATGTATTTCATGAATGTCATGATTTGCATTTCATAGTCTTGCTGCTCCTGCGGTGGTTATATTCACATGTCATTTTGCGTAATTGGCATAATATGGCATGACTACGTGGCGAACACAAGTGACAGACCATAACATAAAAATCATGACATGCGTGTCATGTAACAACATGACTACATACCAAGCTCATGATGTGCTCACCGGCGTTTCACTTGCGTCACATATACCAAATTTGGTATTACGGTACGTGAATGGATGACGAAGGTATGTGGCTGGTGCAAACATGACAGTCATGAGACGCATGTCATGTAACGATATGACTACAATGCATGCTCACGATGCACTGGTGGCCATTTTGCTAGCTTCTATTATACCAAATCTAGTAAAACAGGATGTGAATGGGTGACGAATGCATGATACTGGTGCAAACATGATAAATATGAGATGCATGTCGTGTAACAACATGACAACATGCTACGCTCATGATGCTCTCGCGGCCGTTTCGATGGCTTCACATGTACAAAACTTGGTATTACGCAGCACAAATGGACGACATAGGTAAATGACACATACAAACATGATAATCACGACACGCGTGTCTTGCAACAACATTAATACATGTCGCGCTCATGATGCGCTTGTGGCCGTTTTGCTAGCTTTACATATGCCAAATTTTGTATGACGTGACGCCAGTGAATGACAAGGGTGTGTGACTGTGCAAGCATGATAATCTTGATATGCGTGTCATGTGTGAACATGACCACATTCCACAGTCAAGACACCAATACAGTTTGATGTGGCGCGGTGCGCGTGCTCACCGGAGTTAATTTCGGTGGGTCACGCCGGTGTTGCCACGCCAGGCACCGGTCCTGCCATATACCCGCCGGCGTGCGCCGCGCTGCGTTGCTTTGACGCATGCGGATTTCAGAGCGTCCAGCGTCCCTCCGTCACGAAAAAAGGGAGACGCTGTGTTGTTTGGGTAACGCATCGGCGCGAAATGCAGCGTGTCGCATTTCGCGCCGGTTGCCGTCGGGCCGCGCCAACGGACGCTGGTCGCACCGCTCACCCCTGGCACCAGACTATAGAGTGCTCGCGTTTTGCTAACGTACCGTCGTTGCGCCAAGCATGCGCGCGCGTCAACGCTACATTGGAGTAACTTGGGCCCTTCATGATGTGCTCGCGGCTGTTTTGCTAGCTCCACATATACCAAATTTGGTGCTACATGACGTAAAGTATATGAGCGGTGCAAACATGATAATACTGACACGTGTGTCATGTAAGAACATGACAACAAGCCATGCTCATAGCGGGCTCGTGTTCGTTTCGCTTTGATCCACATATATCAAATTTGGTATCACGTGACGTGAATAGATGATGACTGTAAACGACAAATCCAGACATAGTAATCATGACATGCAAGTCCTGTATCACATCATTTACCTCCACCTTGTAACGTTGTGCTGATTTGAAAGTGACATATCAATCTTTCTCAATCGTGCTTAGCGTATCATCAATTGCCACTGTACGTGGGATATGCCATTTTTTATTTATAGAATACTGCAGGCCCACCCAAGCCCAAGAAGCAGTGGATACATACTCAAAAAACACATGTAATTATAGCAAACTAGCATGCATAAACAACAAATTAATATAAAATGTACCTGCACCCACATATATATAGTGATGAGTGAGACAGAGAACAAGAGACAACACCTGATCCCGGGCCAGCTCTTCTTATTCTGTACTTCGTCTTTCTCCTCCTTGCTCTAGCTATCCGCGCGCCGAAGCGCCAGCGTCTTTCTTGGTCATGACACAAGGCCATGACTGCGCGCGCGTGGAGCTGGCGGCAAAGTTTCTGGTGGACGGCACTGACTGCCTCGAGCTGGTTGCTCTTTTACACGCCACGATGTTTTTTGAAAAAGTGCTATGGACTTAGGCGGCCGGCACTGGCTGCTCCGTTGCGGCCGACGCTCTCGACCGCGATTTGATTCCGGTATCTGCCAAAGGTAGATCTGGTGGTCGATATAGTGGCTGCATCTCGGAGGTCGGCCTTGGCCACGCTGAAACTGGTTGCCAGAGTCTTCCACAAGTCCTATCGGGAGGTAAAGACAGGTTGCTGTCCGCATCTTGAGCGCCAACTTTCTCCTCATGATCTTGGTCATTGACAGCAGCAGTGGTTACCTTGGGCTCTACCGGCGCCATCACCGTAGGCGGTTCAAGCATGGGCGATGCTGGTGTCTCCACTTGCCTCAGTAAAGATGATATTGGGGCTGGCTTCTCTAACTGAGCTGTATGAAGACTGGTATCAGCCTCTTCCACTGACATGATGGCATCGTGTACCGGCGTGAGTACTGAGAGCAGCAATGGCATGTCGCACCTGCATCTGCAGTCATTCGTAGGACAGGCGGAGAAGCTTTCTGCCGCGCGGCTGGAGGGCTTCGAGGAACTTTCGAGGTGTTGCTCCACTGCAGCTCGGTGTGCGAATGGGGTTGCGTCGGTGAAGGGCAATGCAGCACAGTCGGGATGATTCTCTGCGGCTGTTTCGTTGGAGCAACGCCCTTCAAGAGGTCCGACTTCGGTAGCGGCCTCTGGCTGCAGTGAACTTGCTTCGGGTAGCGGCCTCTGGCCGCCGTGAACTTGCTTTGGGAACTTCTCGTGTGGTAAGCTTCAGCACACAGCTGCAGCCTCGAGGTGGAAAGCCTCTGGAGCTTGCTCCTCGATATCGGACAGGTTGGACAAGGTGGTGGTAGACAGGTGGTAAGGACTACGACCGATGGCAGCTATGAGCTTGCAGCTCCACCCCGCCCATGACTGCTGCTTCCAGCCTTCATACCGGTGCCACGCCGCTGCACCTTCCCGAAGACGGTCTACAGCCATGGTCCATTTCTGAGATTCCGTCCAGGCCTCGCGCATTGCTGGGGCGTTGACGGTTGCCACCCAGCTGTCGGCGTCGTTCCGGACCCCGTCGAATTCCGGCAGTTCGTAGGTGTACGACGATGTTGGGGTGGCTCGTGAGGATGCGGATATCACTGAGGCAACGCCGTCGAGCTGGTCTGAGAGCTGCAGGAGGGTGCCCAAAGCTGCCTGCATTGCTCCAATGGGCTTATGGGCTTGCCTCAAAGTCGTGCGAGGCAGCTACGTCCACTACGGTGTTAGTGGCACGCAATTCTGGCAACATTGTAGGAGCTCGCTCGGAGATTGACGTTGTCAGTTCGTCAGTCTTGACGCGGAGTAGCACGATGGTACGTCGCAGGTTCGCGGCGCTGTCGTGTGCGAAGTCCGAAGCGTTGGTGATCGCGGTCTTCGAATGAGTAGCGGTTGCAGCACTCACGCCGGTGAGGTTGAAGAGCAGAGAAGCCTGGACGGCGTTCCCTGGCAACTCGTATGTCGAAAGAGTGCGGCACGGGAATGTAGGTCATGGGAAGCGTGAGCGGCATTCCCAAAGGACAGGAGCTGGTGCGGATCCCTTCCACGAAATGGTGGCAGGGTGTCAATAAGGTCATGTCCTACAATCCCAGGGTAGGCCTGGACGCCGTCCACTGGTGGTTTGAAGGGTAGCTGAAGCGGCGGGTGGGACCCCATTGCCAAGGAAGCGGGAAAGGCGTTCCTCGATGGAAAAGCCCGCACTGCCGACGAACCATGAAGACACGTACCGGTGGCTTCCCGCAGGAGGTTCAGTTGTCGGCTTGCGCTGACGGCAGAATCCATAGCCAAGGACGCGTGGACGGCGTCCCTTCTTCTTCTTCGTTGACTGCGCCATTGTGATGAGCGAAACAGAGAACAAGAAACAACACCCGATCCCGGGACAGCTGTTCCTATTCTGTACTTCGTCTTCCTCCTCCTTGCTCTAGCTATGCGCGCGCCGAAGCATCAGCGTCTTTCTTGGTCATGACAATACTTACACTTTAACTCTAACTACTGTAATAGCAACACTGATTAGTAAAACAAACAGAAATGTGTTCTATTCTACACCTATGAACAGCATAGAAGTACTAACAAAAATATACCAAGTATCATGAGAACAGTATATCAATGACAATTGATAAAAACATATGAAGGGCCTAAGCATAACGAAGTACCAAAAAATCTGGAGTACGAATGTAGGCCTACAAGAATTAAAAGAGAGGATACCGCTGCGTTCCATTCAAC